AAATAGTTGCCTAAAGGTTTTCTCACATTTTCTTAGTGCATGTTAATTGTGCAATGTGGGGTTTTCACTGTTGTATTTCCATACCTGCATGTAATATACTTTCATCATATTCACTCCATTACTCTCTTTTATCTCCCCTCCTCCACCTCCTCTTTTTAAAATCTTTTTTGCAATTTAAAAAAACAGGCTTCGTTATTCCAATCAATTCTTTGCAGTGTAGCAGAAGGATCTTGCAAAACAAATTTGGTCACTGCCCCTCATCTTCCACACATTTAAATATTTTAACAGTTCCCTTTTACTCCTAGCATAAAAAGCAAAAGAGCCTCATATACCTCGAAGGTTCTGTGGGATGATGCTTCTGTCTAACGCCCATGCGGGGGAACTCAAGCCACACAAGGCTACCTTTTAGCTCTGTGAACACACATTCACTCTACTGCATACAGGGCCTATGTGGTTCTCTCTGCCTGGACAAGTCCCTATCTCCTTTTCAACATCACTCCTACCATGGCTTTATGAGTTAGCAGTCATTCTTTCACCAGCAAAGCCTTCCTTGTCTGGGCCTAACACTCTTTTTTGCGTACTCTCACAGTGGCACAAACTCTTCCTTGAGATTACTGCTCACATCTGAAAGTCCTACACATCTTTGTTGTTTTTTGAGGAATATACTTTCCCAGAGGATTTTATCCCTCCATATTGCTGGCATCTAGATCCATGCCCAGCACACAGTAAATGCCCAATGAACAGCTCTTGAGTAAATGAATGAAAAATGACCAGGCCATCCACCCACACTATTGTCAAGACATCCTGAGCAGGGATGCTGAGGAATATGTCATTTCACACCAGAGATCACATTGGTTACTATAGGGATGAGTATAAGAATATCACTGCTAGGCTTTGGTAGTTTCCAAAGGAACTGGAGACCTCCATTTATTATATAGGCCGTTCTATATTAAAGTTAATAATTATATGGAAGTGAATATAAGGGGCCATGGAAAATATACTATCCAGAAGGAGTTAATCAATGACAAGTCCTGTCCATTAAGATCATTGTTATCAAGTAATAATTTTCCTTTATTTCATGATCTCCCCAATGCTACCATTGGTTTTCAAGCTCTATCATTGAGTCCATATTTTTTTTAACATTCAGTATCTTTTGGGCATATTTAGTATGTACCAGGCACTGTGTTAAGCATGGGTTACATGCTGAGCAAGGTGCCTACCTTAAGGTGAAGGTAACAACTAAATAAAATCACTGAAGACTATTATTAGTGTTGATAAGGAAAGAAACTGTGTTCCGTGTGAGCAAGATCATTCCACTGTTTTATTATCATCTTAACTGATGCAGACACCTCACTGGGAGAACCTGTATCATTATTCACCCATAGTACAAAGTAATTCAGTGTTTCCTTTTTGTTTGATGAAGAATTAAAGGAGTTTATATTTTGGTGTCATGGTTTTTAGTATTCAAATGTATTCACATTCTTAAATTAAGTAAACTCCAGAGTTACTAAAATCCAACTTCTCTACTGCCAGTTTTGATGTGCCCCAAAAGATCTTAATGCCTTGTTCTCTAAGATGCGTATCTCAACAGAGCATCTGTTTCATGCCCAGAGATATTTCATTAGGTTTAATACAAGGAGTAGTTGGTGGCACACAAAATCTTAAAGAGACCAGAGGGAATGATATAAATTTTGCAAAGAATGGGTGAGGACTTGAGGCAGGCTAGAAGTAGAGAAAGTTCAGGACTCCTATGTAGGTTACCCAGGGATGGCCCAGACCACCCCCGCACCTGGCCGGGAACACCCATGCCCCTCCCCACTCATTGATTATTGGATGGGAATCACCTGGCTCCTCCCTTCCCCTAGATCAGCATAAATTTTAAAGGTACCTGAGAAAGAAAAGCACACTTCCTCTTTTTTTTTTTTCTTTATTATTCATATGTGCATACAAGGCTTGGGTCATTTCTCCCCCCTGCCCCCACCCCCTCCCTTACCACCCACTCCGCCCCCTCCCTCTCCCCGCCACCCCCTCAATACCCAGAAGAAACTATTTTGCCCTTATTTCTAATTTTGTTGTAGAGAGAGTATAAGCAATAATAGGAAGGAACAAGGTTTTTGCTGGTTGAGATAAGGATAGCTATACAGGGCATTGACTCACATTGATTTCCTGTGCGTGGGTGTTACCTTCTAGGTTAATTCTTCTTGATCTAACCTTTTCTCTAGTACCTGTTCCCCTTTTCCTATTGGCCTCAGTTGCTTTTAAGGTATCTGCTTTAGTTTCTCTGCGTTAAGGGCAACAAATGCTAGCTAGTTTTTTAGGTGTCTTACCTATCCTCACCCAGCACACTTCCTCTGCCAGGAGACTCACCTGTGTGAGTGCCCCACCGTGTATCTCCCTTCCCTAACATTTAATAAACTCCCTTTACACTCACATGTCCCACCATGGATTCTTCCTGGTGGGTCACAAAGAATTTGGAAGTCTTCTGATCAGACTGCACCAGCACTGTTAACAGACTCACTTTTTGGATATTCACTGTAAACATTAAGACCTAGGACAGTATTTGCAGTTTCACTCACCTGCAATTATTATATGTTAATATTAACTGAATGAACTGTGATGCTTCAAGAAAACTAGTGAGTTGAATTGTGAGAACAGAGTGATATTGAAAGAGAAAATTAAAGTTGGAGTTGCTTAGTAAGAGAAAAAGCCACACAGTTTAGAAAGTGCTCCATGAACAGTGTCCTTTCCATAACCTTTGACTAAGCTTGAGGCTTACCAGGGACCAGGAAGCAAGGAGAATCTCAAGAGCTGCCCACAGCTGTCACACAATGCCATGGTTCAGGCCTCCTTCTCCAGTCTACTATCTCCAATGAAGAGGGACAATCAGCAGATTGATACATTCTTCAGTTTACACTCCTCAGCAAAAACTGATTATGCCTTTGTTTTTAACCTAACAAATCATAGCTTGATTACAGGTCATTAGTGACCATTAATATGTGAAACTATTTGCATTTCACTTGTATATTTGAATTACAGTCAAGCTTCCAAAGGAAAAAAGCCTCTTATCTGGCCTCAAGCGTGACTTAAACAAACTAACAATTAGCCTCTGGAATTGAACTACGATGCAGAAGACTTCATTATTTTGGTTCATTGTTGTCCTGTCTGTTGTAGAATCAGCCATTTCCTTTGTAGTGGAGACACGCTCTTTGTGCCAAAAGATTGTGTAATCTCTTGAAAGGTTCTCAGTAACTCCCAGAGGCTGCTAATGCTTTCGCTAACCACACAGGCCTGCTCCTGTAATACTGCTACAGACTCCTAAATTCACAAAACGATGGCTGAGTAAAAGTCCAGATAAATGCAGGGCACATATCGGGGATTATCAGAAATATACAAGTAACAGGAAGAAAACGTACTGGCAGAGCAAAGAACACACACATACATGGGGACTTTGGATTATCCACATTAGGAGCCAAGATTCTTAAAAAGATCTGAATAATTTCCAAGCCTCCATTTCATTTTGTGCTGAGTCGTACAGAGGGGCCCAGAGTAATTACTAATTTCAGAAATGTTTGAACACTTTTTAAAATCACAATTGCCATATGGGAGCGAATCCATGACCCATCTCATTTAATATTCTGCTGCTTCAAAAAAGGTCCCCTAGAGAATGCCATTTTTGGCTACTAACATGCTAAGGCCACCAAAGCAGAGGAGTTTCTAAGAAGAAAAGTGATGGCTACAACCATTTTTGCTTTTTATTCTGCACTAGCTACCCAACCCATGACTCATACCTCAGCTGAACATGCCCAAGGGCAATATAGAGTTCCACACAGCTTAAAAGGCCTTTCAAATCAGTTACCCTGCTCATCTTTAACTCTGCTGTGTGAGACAGTGAATGAATGGTTCAGCACTGGCAGAAAATGTAGCCTCTAAACTCAAACACAAGTGTTCAAATCCTGTCCTGTTTAAGCAACTTTGAGCAAGTTTCTTAACCTTTCTAAGCTTCAGTTTTCCCATTTGTAAAATACAACCTTAAGTAATAGGTAATAAATGTGTGCAAAATGCTTAGAACACTATATTATGCATAATGAGTGACCAATAAATAGTAACTGCTATTATTTACATATCTGCTCAGTTAATAAACTAAAGATGGATGCCAAACTCTTATCATACCCATCTGCTGCCACATAGTAAAGCACTATCTCTCACTAGAGACCATTTTGAGAAATCAGAGAAGCCATATATGACTTCACCCACATACAGCTATTAAATAATCTGCCTCAGAGCCCAAACAAACCTCTGTTACAAACTCCACCCCAAGGGATCTTCTCTTAAGTCAAATCACGATTCTTTCGCCCTAAATTTAATTTTTCAGGACTCAAACCTACAGCCAAATGTAGAGGCTCTCAAGCTAACTAGCCTCATCATAAACAGTTTCAAGAAATGAACAAACAAGACTAGCAGAAGTCTTTAAGTCATCTCATCCAAACAAGTAGAACGGCCCTGGCTTTAAGGAGAGGACTACCAACTATTTAATTTGGGGGCATAGATATTGTTTCTCTTACACAGTGATTTCTAAATCTACTTTCTCATTCAAAATTATGCATCTATCAAATTCTCCATTCTCCATCATTGTACAAATATGCTCATACTCGCTTCCTTTACCTCCTGACCCCAAGTCCTTTTTCTTTGTTCAGACATTTAATATTATCTGTCTTGTTCACTAGCCTGTTCAACATACCTCTCAGGCCCCACTCTTGTCTAGCCAGCCCTCTCTTGCCTGTCAGTCATAATGTATCATCCCCATGTACATTTTGGTTAAAATGTGTTCTTAACTCTTAAAACCCTAAGTCAAACTATGTCTCATATGTACAGTAACTCTTTCAAAATTTGAATTAAGTTTCATGGATCTCATGAAGTAAATTTTAAGGAACTGGAATGATTCAATACTTCCTCATTGCTATCTTACCAAGAACAGTAGTTATAAACGATAATACTAATACCTTTATTTCCATGGATGCTTTCATCTAGGCAATTCATGCTTCATTATTGGGCCACTAGTCTGTCTTGGGTTCTCCCTTGGCTCCTGTGACAAACAGATCCAGACTCTAGGAGGCAGGGACACTTCAACTTTTGGCTACATACAGGTGTACTGACATATTCCCCAGTCTCCTGGTTGAGGTTGCTCCTGATCGGTCAAAGATGACAAGTGACACAATCAATTCTACAAAACCTCTCTGAGCCTCAACCCCCTCAACCAGAAATGGACTGCTTTCTGACTGGGAGTCTAGAGCAGTGGCTTCAAGTGTTGTTATGCATCACAGCTGCAGCAGCATTACTTGGGAACTATGAAAAGAAACACTCAAGCCTCTTCCCAGATGTTCTGCATCAGAATCACTAGGGGCGGAGCCTAGCAATTTGTATTTAACAGGCACTTCAGGCAACTCCAAGATACCTTTAAGTTTGAAAACAACTGCTGTGCCCCTTTAAGGGTTCTGTGGAGGCTGCAGGGGTGAAGAAAGCATTCTTCATGTAGCTACAGGGAGCCACGTAAACAGGATGCTAAGCATTTTGGGTAAAGCTTTCCAGTGCAAGGACAGGAGCAGTTGATGAAAGCTAAACAGACTACTCTGATGCAGAGCAACTTTGCAACTGGAGCTCTTCAGAAGCAGGAGCAGGAGCCATCCATCTCACTGGTTAGAAACAGTTTCAGTGGGTTTGAACCCAGGCTCCCTTTCTCTGGAAGTGTTCAATGGTATTCATGAATAGGAAAGTAGAAAAACGAGAAATACTGAAAACAAAGATGCCAAGATTCAAAACAAAACAAAATTAGTCTTTAATGGCAAGCTTCAATATAGCACTAATATAGAAAGGTTTATACTTAATCTATTATCATAAATTTTTAATAGCTTAAAGCTAGTACCTTTAAAAACCATCCTATTGATGATACATAGAGTAGATAATGGATTTTATTTTCCTCAGTGTTTTATTTCATACTCAGAAAGGACAGCAGTTACCTGAAAGTCTCACAAAATTCCAAACCAAGAGATTATATTGATTTTTTTAAAAGGGATCAAATCATCACAGGCCAGAACTGATACTGGATCAAAAATTAAGCGTGGTAAATTAACTTATTTATATTCTGTTTTGTAGTAAAAACAACTTTCAATAATAATATTATATTTTAAGACTTACAGATAATTGTATTAATATTAATGAAAATACATGATTTAGCAACTACAACATCTATGTACATGGACTGTTCTGAACACATGACATGTACTGTCATATTTAAGGCTAACAATGACCTTATGAGAATAAGCATTGTTATCCTCGCCTTATAGATGAGGCACCTGGGTGTAGAGAGGTTAAGCGATTGGCCTAAGGACATAAAACAAATTAGCAGTGGAGCCAGGAATCAAACCTAGTCATCTTCAGAGCCTGCATTCTTAAATACATTTTTAGCATAACACTGGACCCTAGGGATTGAGAGGGTAGAAAGCATGTACGGTCCAGTGCAAATAATACTTGTGATCATATAAGTCTTCTAGAAACACTAAAATCAATCAAGCAACTATTCACTGAATATTTAATCCATATCAGGGATCAAACTAGTCATGGTACAACTGTTGTCTCACTTAATCCTCACAACAACCACATAAGGAAGTTACTGTTATTATCCCAAATTAACATATAGGCAACTACAGTTGAGGACTTAAGTCGTAAATCCATTTTCTTATGAATACTTCACTGCTCAAAGAAGCAAATGGAAGACATACTTAAAGAAGTGTATAAAGATATGAATAGTGAGTAAAAAACAGTCAGTAAATGTAGCTTCCTTGCCCTTAATTAAGTTTGTGGGGTAAGAATGGTGGTGATCATCAATCCATTGTTTTCCTTATCTATTTTCTTACTTTGTCCCAAAGAACAGATTTTGTAATTTAGATATTTGGGTGCAATGTGCAGCCATGAAATAGAACTAAGTCTACCAGCTTCTTCATATCTTCAGAATCACCAAAGTTAAGCTCTTTGGCTAGGAATGTGAGCCCAGAGACTGTTAGAGTTGGCAAGAGGAACAAAGAATGAATGAACTTAGAAATGATATACATCTCATATCCAAGCCCAACAATCAGAAGGGTGAAGGCCATGCACAGAAAGACAAATACTTCATGGTTTTACCCATATGTGAGAGCTAAGAAAAGCTGACTTCATAGAAGCAGAGAGTACAGCAGTAGTCACTGGGAAAAACAGGGTGAGGGAAGACAGAGGGAGGGAAAAAAGTATGTTTGAGAAGGGGTGAGGATAATAAAACTTAGTCTTCATATTTGTTGAGTATAGTAAATAGAGCATGAAAATACTTTGCAGAAATCTAAAATGAAAGATGGCATCACTGTCTCATTTGCCCCAAATTTAGCCAACTTATATCAACCTGTTTAGTCAAGTTGGTTTACCAAGAGACTAATTTAAAAGGCAAGAGGTAGAAGGATTATTTAAAGTTGAAAATTATCAGCAGTACCAAAACATTTGTATAACTACTTGCCAAGTTGTTTTGAAGGTTAAAAGGAATTCATTTTCCAATGGACTCACTTCCCGTAAACTTGGCAAATCAATATGAAATAGCCAGAGCACCTTTCTGTAAAAGCAACAAAGAGAATCACCAGACTATGATATCAACAAACAGGGCATAGACACTTTCAGCAACTCAACATTTTTTCAAAGATGCCTTTGGGTTCCTATTCAAATTTCAAGTTATTCTCTCTTGCTGGTCTACCTTGGAGAGCAGGGTTTGTCCTGTGTATAGATGAGAACAGCAGTGAAAGGAGGCAGTGAGAAAGACAGTTTTATGTAGGGAGAAAAAGGAAATACCATGGGAAATTCACCTTGGAGAGGTGGAGAAAAGAGAATACTTAATATTATTAATTGATTGTATGCCTTATTGAAGGACATCAACCAAGATATTCAAGGGCAAAGACATAAAAATCAAGGAAACAATTTTTTCAGTGACTGTACATTTACCTTGGACTATGGTTTCCCCCAAGTTATCTGAGAGATTAAAATGGCTTTGTGATGTGACATCATCATTCTGCTTTTCCTATTCTGGTTCTTTACTTAAAATATTTTGTAGGTCAGCAAAAGAGATAAAACCAAAGCAAATATCATGTTATTCTAAGTATAAGTTTCATTGGGCCTATAGTTGGAAAAACTTACTCATTCTTTCAAGACACTAGTTGTGGGGTTAGAGAAAACTGCTTGATGAATCACTCTGGCTCTAGGTCATCTTACCAAGGTTATTTTTCAGTACCTTGAAAACAGAGCACATGGAAGTTGCTTGCATCATGAAATCAGGGAAGGATCCCAAGGTTTCTCAGATATAAAACATACCATACTTTCTAAAGCCAAGATCATCTGGTGAGCGGATCACGGTGTTTTCCGGTCCATGTTTCTCCAGGCTCTCCCTTGAACAGCCACACTGCAGTACACTACTCCTGACCGGATGCCCCACGTGCAGGCCTCTGCAGTAGATGGGGTTGTCGGCGCAGTCACTGATTAAACATTTTAAGACTGACTTTGGCAAAACATGCCAGAAATTCCTTCAGGGTAATCAAAACCACCTTCTGTATCAATAAACACAGACTGTGAGATCTTTCATGTGCAGAGGGCCTGGCTCTGACCCTTGGTTCTAGGACATTTTTGTCTTCGATGGGTTTCTGTTATTGCAATTGATTTTCACTGACTCGTCCAGACCATTCCCAGCCCCCTTGTGAGGAGACTGGCTGAGGTCAGAGAGCTCATCTTACCTTTCAGGTTTTAGCCAAGAGACAAGGACCCAAGGGGGGTGAGCTTGAGGCCCAGCTCATTGCCAAACCCTTTTACCCAGACCTTCAGGTGAGAGACCTTGAAAATGAGTCTTGCCACAGAATTTTACAATCCCTAACGTCCACTAATCACTAATCTCCCAGAGTTCAAACTACTTTTCATTCGAAGAATTATTAATGTGTCTTCAAAGTAAAAGAAAGAACTCAAGTGAATATTTACTACATTGATATCCAGGGGCAAGTCCTGTGCACCTAGTAGACACCCCATGAATTGTTTTTCAATGCAATGACAGATTTATTGTTTTTATTATGTAAACAATGAATATACTTATTCATAACTGTCATACATTATAGGAAATATAAAGACAAATAGTAGAAATTACTTAAAATTTCACCAGCCTGAGAAAACCATCAGTAATATTTTGGTAGCCACCCTTTTATTGAATTATTCATCTACACACACTACAGTTTATATAAGAGAAACCACACTATATAATACTTTCAATCGTGGATATAGATACCTTTAATTTTCCTTAAAATACAGTCTTTTATTGCTTATATCTTTCCTCCCCCTCATAACCAATATTAATAACGTTTTTTCTATTTTTTACTAATATCTTCATATACCAACTCATGCAACATGAATGAGGTTTCAGTTACTCAATAAATACTTGCTGAATGGTTAAAGAACACAGTGAAAGAATAAACACATAAATAAATAAATGGATAAAGAATAAATAATAAGTTATGCTCTTAACTAGCCAGTAGAGATTCCAAGTGATTTCAAAAATCATATGCAACTTTTGACATCCCCCTTACGTCTTTTGAATTTTTTATTTTTTTGGCTTCAACATATTCATAGGGATACATAAATTTAAATTCCCAAGCAAATAATATATAACAGGCTACTGTCCTAACTACAGAGAAGTTATCTACTTTCAAATTAAAATCCAATTCAAAAACCATTTACTAAGCACCTGACTGCCTTTCTAGGGTAAACTAGAGAAAGATGTTGTCACTGCCTTCTAGGAGTATCTGTCTTATAAGACACTGGCAGTGTGAACTTCGATCTCAGTTTCCACATTTGTGAAATGGGGATTATACTTATACCTCATAGAATTGTGGCAATTAAAAAACTTGAGGAAATCAGGAAAATCACTTCATGAAAAACTATGCACTGGAGACAGAGCCGGTAGGTGCCAGGGAAGGAGAAACAGCAGAATAGTGGGAACAGAGAAGCAGGGCCCAAGCACAAACCAGCCTTGGTGGC